TGGTTCGGATAACTTATTTTTCGGATAACGAATCATGTACGAAAAAATATATTAATTTATCCCATGTTGAAATTTCTCTCCGTTGCGTGTCGCTTCGCGTTGAATTTTCGTCAATGTTAAGCCTAACGAAGACTATTGTATCGTTAAAAATTATTTTTTTATTTTGTACAAACAAATTAAATTTATTGAAAAATATAAAAACAATAAAAAAATTATACTCCAGAAGTTAATTTAGTATCAAAAACGTAAAATATTTGAGTAGCCCGAGAAATAGCCAAAGATTGCAGCGCCACAGCACTAGCGAAAATTTAAATTTGCCGACTGGAATGCTTTCGGATAACCAGCTTTCGGATAAACGACGCTCTACTGTAGTTTTAAATGAAAACTCTATAAAGTTTGTTTTATTCAAAATAAATATAAATATTTTTATTTCAAACATTAAATGCAGAAACTAGGAAACTTTGATGAGACTTTGTTTTATCTATAGACATTCTGGGAGTATCTTTGAAGTGGAGCATTAGCAAAGCTTCTATGAGGCTTACAGAATTCTGTTCCTTCTCAAAATCTGTTCAATAGATTTTGATTAAACTTTGCCATTGTCTCCATTAATTGCAATACAGAATCCAAAAATGCAATAAAAAATGGGAGTCTGTGACTTTATTTTTGAGATATAAGGTTGTTTCACGAGTGTACATGTCAAAACAATATCACACAAATCATGTGACTTTGTCATGCAATGTTTCACAGTCACTATCACATCTTGTATAGGCTTATAGAATTGAATTCATTCTCAAAAATTAAATTAATGGATCAATTTTGATAAAACTTTTCCATTTTCCATTAATTGAGACAAGGAATTCAGAAATGTAATATCTATTTAAATGTAAAAAATCCAGCAATGAATTGCTTAACTTTCCCAGTAACATTTAAAATTCTGGTGGTGCTATCTGTTATAATATTTCATTACAAAAAACTTTACATTTTCAATCATTATAAAATGGCAAAAGACTTAATTTTGAGGGTATGGATGGATTTTATAAAAAAATTGTAAATGCTAATAACAAGTAAAATCGTCATTAAGTCCGACTCTACTTGAGATAGGATACACAACACCCTTTATCTCTATCTAATAGCACCATTCCCCCTAATACACAAACCTTCCTACAAAATTTCAGAAATTTTTGAAAGCACAGGAATTATTAAGTTTCAAAGAGGATAAACAAAATTTTGCCACTCACAAACATACATTAACATCCATATGTACAGAAAAAACTCTGAATGTTTATTGCATTTCTTATACTGTTTTTATTTTTGACCCCTAGGTCTAATTCCATTAAGTGTGCTTGTCACATCAGAGAGCATGGACATTGTCACTGTAATACCTTTGTATCTTGAAAACAAAGTCATGGCCTTTACTTTTTACTTTCCTGGCTCTGTTATAGATAACAAAGGGAAAATATGGAAATCAGTCAAAAAATGACCCTGCCAAGATTTTTAATTTTTGGACTTAGAAATAAGTCCAAAAATAAAAAATTCTATGCCGAATATATCATCCACATATCTAGTGTATATCATAAGATGAATATATCATCCACATATCTAGTGTATAAAATAATAAGGTGTTGAAATTTGGGTAGTATGTTGTTTTCCAATTGTTGCAATACCAACTCACAAAGAATTGCCAATGTGGGACTGCCCATAGGTACACCTCTTTCCTATAAAATATACCTCGTTCTCAAATTCAAAGAATGACCCCGCCATGATTTTTAATCTTTGTGGGGTCATTTTTTGACTGATTTCCATATTTTAGAACCACCAGAAGACTCATGTATTCCAGATTAACACACCTGATACAGACTAAGAATACCATGTTCCAACTGGACCCACATCTACTTAAGGTGGAAAATGCCAAAATAGCCATTATCCAGGATATGAATGTCTTGTTGCCATGCTTAAGCTGATAGTGTGGTGTTATCGAGCTTCTTATCAATTGTATATTTATGCTCTTTGAGTCATTGTTGTAAGTTGCGCATCATGGCACCCACATAACCTAGTTTAGATTTGAAACATTTGTCCTTTAATGGGGTGGAGGGTTGCGTCAATATACTACTTGGAGTTTATTAGCCTTGGCTGCCTTCTTATGTATTCCTCTTAAAAATGGGATATAATTTAAAACTACTCTTTGTTTTCAGTCCAGTGAAGTATGTTGATGTTTTGTTGCTTGAAAGGTTGTGATTAATTTCTTTATCATTTCCTTGCTGTTCTGCAATCCCTAAGATGTAATCTAGCTCTGTTATTGTGTCATTTATGCTTGTACAATGCATTAATAACCCCTTCTTATTCAGGATCTAAATGCTGCCAATTTGATGTGAAGAGGATCGACAGAGTTATGTAGAAACAAAATATCAGTTATGATTTTATTATACTTAGAACTTTATGTTCAGAAATAAAGAAATCTTTTCCTTACACATTACACTGTAAATTGGAAATTTTATACCTCTATGTGAATTGACACAATGCCTTCAATTCACATAATAGTGGAATTCACAGAAACTTGCAATAAAGATACAGTACTTAAAACCAATAAATAAACAACTTTTAAAATGAAAAGGAAACAAAAATGATAATTGATCTGTCCATTTGTTTTGCTTGCTTAGATCTTGACAAATTTATTGTTTCACCTGCAATGGTAGTTTCAAAAACAATGGTAGAAATAAAATACATACTATATTTCATTGTAAGAAGAAATTCAATGGTAATTGATATTTTAAAATTTATTGACTCACCTGCTTTTAAAATTAGTAGATTAACCTTTGTAGAGAGGGTTAGTCAGATATGGCGCTATCATAATGTAGTGGAGAATAAACGTGGGAAATTTTTTAAGAATTTTCCCACGTTTTTCTCCTTTCTATTTCAGGAAAAAATTTTTTAAACAGTTACATCTGGTAAAGAAAAAATCTTTCTTTATTGTCACATAATTCCTTTTTATGTGCATTTTTTTTTTGCTGTAATTTTTGGCTAAAATTTTTTTGCAGATATTGATGTCATTCTCCAGTGCTATGTGATCGCCCTTGACAGGTATATCTGTGGATCACTGGAGAGTGGTTAAAAAAAACATGATATATCCAAATCTGTGATATAATGATATGCAATATAATGAGGGGCAACTGTAATCATATTTATTTATTATGTTTTTTTTTTTTTTTTAGTTTAAATTAAAAATATAAATGAAATTTTTAAAAATGTTTAATATTGCATTAATGTCTTCTAGGCACTTTCTGGAACCAATTTAAAACATGGTCATTTGGAAATGATTCGAAATATCATTAACAAAAGAATGGATGTAAAAAGGACATTTGCTGTTTGGGGTATAGATTCACCTTGGAAGCCTATAACAAAAAAGGTAATATTTTAAAATTATTTTATCAATACTAGTTTATAAATAAGTAGTTAATTGTAAACAACATATATGCATTAAAAATTTAGAAAACAAACTTTTATATTCCAAAATACAGGGTGTCTTATCATATTTTAAAATATACATTGTAAGTGAAGAACTGCTATTTACTTATTACATTTATTGCCAAATAGTAATCAAGTGAGTGTCATTTAACTATCTGATTTTGAATATCAATGACTGCAAACTCTTATTCTGAAGCAACAGATCACATGTGGTAGTTCAAAACTGTTTGTGTACATTTAAATCTTGGGCTTTAAATTCTTACACAACTTGCAGTTTATAAGGGTAGAAGTAAACACCTTGATGCAAGATTCACTTGAATGAATGATCTGAAATTTGTAAATTCACAGCATGCTGCTGAACAAATCTTGGATTCTGTGTGATTGTAATATGGATAATTTCAATCATTGCTGGTATCTGCACTGTTCTTTCATTCTATCTTGGGTTATGATTACAGGTAGATGCAATGAATCTGCCTTTAATTAATCATAACCTAGGATAGACCCATTTTGTAATTCTATACGTTTCCATAATGACTAAGTTGAAGTATTTCCTGAATACATTTTGTATAGCAACTGACAATTATTATTTTTGAAATAAGCCTCTACTGTGGAGGTGAATTATTTTGTGGTCCACCTTTCCATGTTAAACAAAATAGTAACTCAAGTACAACAGAACAATATCATCATCTAACACAATGTTGCTATTGTTGCTTTTTGTGTATCAATATATGTTATGAATGTAGCTGCACTCTACATATAAAATATTATAAAATAAATTGTATAACTGAATATTTAAAATGTATGAAAAAGTTTTTAATGTTATAACTATTGATACTTATCATATTTTAATTACAAATACTTATTTATAATTTACTTTTGCAAGTTATTGAATTTTGACAATTGACAAACATAGAGCCTTTGTCTATTGTATTACTTTGTAGTTATTATTTATGAAATTACAATTTTCACAGAATGCACTAGAGAAAAGGAACATGTTTACTTTACTTTAAATAAATGTTTTTACTTATAATTAAACTGGAAATTTAAAGTATATGTAAACTTTGTTTAAAAATTGTTGAAATGTTCTCTAATTTCAGATGATTTAAAGAATTTTTGCATTTTTGATGAGCCAGAGAATACCTGATACTACATATACATATGATATGTGTAACTATAACAATTGAGAAATTATTCAGGCAGTATTAAAAACTTGCAGTAAGAATAAGTCAAGATCTCACAGAATTATTATATTAAAAATTTACATAACTTCATTAATTCAAACAAACTACTAATCTTAAAATGAGAAAAATGCCTGCTTTGAAAAAGTGTTACCAGGATTGAAAAGTATATGTTTAATTACATAAACTTGCATTTTTCAATCCTGCACATTCAAGTTTTTGTAACTCTTCTTTAAACATGAAAATACTAAATTCTAATAAAAATGAAAATTTAAAGTTAAAATTATTTAAAAGAATATACACCTAAAAATAATGCATGTTTGAACAAAATTTAAAGCAGATGATCATTTCTTAAATAAAAAATTACAAATTTGAGATTTTTTAATAATTTCAAAGTAGTTATTTATGTAATACTTTACAAAAAAATTCTGCAGAATTTCAAAATTCTATTTCTAAGCACAATAAGGGGCCGGATAGCCAAGCAGGTAAGGTGGCAGCCTACCGCTCTGGGGGACCCAGGTTCGAATCAGGACCAGTCGTAAAATCCCCAGGAATTTTTTGGGGGTGGTCCATTCTGATATGTTGGGCCCCATCCCTCACCACTCGGTCACCCCATTGTGGGCCTGGCCGAACCCATAATGGGTCTGCTAAAAAGAGGTCCTCTTAGTGCCCACAGGGTGGAAAGAGTTAAAAAAAAAAAAAAAAAAAACAAGCACAACACTGCATAGTGAGGGAGCTGTCAGTAGTTCAACTGCCATTACCATATCTCAGACCCCTTTCCATATGCATTTGTCATATATTCAGGCAACATAACTTTCTCCTGCTCCTATCTCTGCTACCAAATTTGCATAGACATGTAAATATAGTAACACACCATCACCAGCAGTTAAATGTTAATACTGTTGAAAATTCTTGTTGATATGTTAGATATGTCTGATTATATAAGCACTGTAGTCATCAGAAGTATTTCACCAGTGGTTAATTGTCAAAGCCTTAGATCACTTGATAGATGTGTAAGTAACATCTATAACTATACTGTAATTATCAAATGTAACCTACTAATAGGTGAATGTGAACTCATTTGAACATCACTCAAGAATGCATTCATTACATGAGTTATTATATTTTAGATGTAATACTAAAGAAGAATCACTAAGATGGTGTGATTCAAAATGCATTTATATTCAGGCCCATCTTTGGTACGTGCGAGGCCCTCGGCCAAGAAAAGCTTGGAGGCCCCCTTAAGGAATTTGTAATGGAGGGTTAATGTTCATAAATTTTTTCAATTAGCTGTCTCTGCTAAACACATTGTTATATTTATGTTTAATAAAATTTATCAGACATATCTTTTGATTGTTTACTGTTTATAATAATTTTATTACTTGTTGCTCTATTCAATTTTGCATATTTTTGAGGTCTCGAATGTTAAGAGCCCCAGGACCCAGGCCCAAACCAAAGACGGTACTGTTTATATTAGAGGAAGAATGAAAAAAAAAAAAATGTGTCAATGCTAGCACGGTTACTTGGTTTGCTGCAGTTCTAGGCAATTGACATTCAGAATAGATCTGTACTTAAGTCACTTACTTGGTTTAGGAATTAAGAAAAAGTGACAATACATATAAATTTCATATCTGCCTTTTGCTCAAATTGTGATATTGTGACAAAATTCACAAACACTGCTTGTATTTAATAAGCTGCAGTTCTGAACTAAACTAATATCTAATGCTATTTTTACATTGCCATCTATGATTATGATACTTATTAAGACAGAAGCTCTATCTTTTAGCATTCTATTAATAAAACACCTGACTGTTATATTTTTTAATGGCTCATTATTCAAAATAATAATTATTTATTTACCTAAAAAATATGTAAAGTAATTTTCAGTTTATTGGAAGTTGATAAACCAAAAAGTCTCTTCTAAAGATTAAAGTAATTAATTGGAATAATTCCAAAGTTTGATAACAGATAAATTAAACAATCTGACACACTATGTATTTCCTGTTATAACAGATTTCATTTTAATTTCAAAATTTGGCTTTGCTGCAACACAGCTCAGCTTATAGCTTGTCTGTCAAGACTTCAGCTCAGCTAGATATTTTCAAATAGCTAAGCAGAGCTTTGCTGAACTCTCCGATGGAGAGTTAGGCACAGCCGCTGTTGTTGTTGTTATTAAAAATTTTATTGATAACAGACTAATATGCTTGTAAATAAATTTAAGTTGTTATATATTACAATAAATCTTAATAGAGAATTTGAGTTACAGAGCCAAGGTAAAAGAATGGGTGGTGGAAAAGGATCCATTGCCTATTATGTTACTCCTATTCGTGCTGGGAGAATCATTGTGGAAGTGGGTGGTGCCGTTGAATACGAAGAAGTTTATCCGTATTTAAATGAGGTTGGCATACAGTTTAGCTATGGTATTTTGTTTCTGATACATTTGTATATTATTTTTATAAAGTGTAAATTGAATTTCAGATTGTGGAGAAATTACCTTGTGATGCCATGGTAGTTAGTGAAGAGATAATGCAGGAGTTAGAAGAGGAAGAACAAAAATTAGTAAAGGCAAACATCAACCCATTTACTTTTGAAAGTGTGATTAAAAATAATTTGCAAAATTGTCATCAGTGGATTAGCAAATATGATAAAATTTGGTTTGGAAAGTACATATAATATTGTAAACAATAAATTAATGAATAAATTTAGTTTGTAATTTTTTAGTAATAACCAAAAATTAATTTTAAAATAACAATATCTTCTAACCTAATTACAGGTATTAATGAACACATTTGTGTTCATTTTAAAATAAGCCTGCAAAAGAGAAAATAGTTCTAATTACAGTATTTGTATGTTGTTCATATCATAACAAATCAATCTCTAAATCTGGTAAAATACATTTAGCATTAAATCAAGGAACCATTTTCTTTTAATTTTCAAAATGTTTCAAGAAGAATTATCTTTTCATTCTCAGCAATATCATAAGCATTCTACAGAACAGCATTAAGCAGACTTAAAAGCAAATGGCTCCTTCATTTATGATTTGATTTGTTTTGCAAGATATAACATGGAGTCATTCTTTCCTTGTGTTGAAGAAATCAATCTAATAAATATTTACTATTTTGTTCTGAAAATTATTATTCAACTTCATTATCTTGAAATTTTCCAAGAAGTAAATACTGGAATATACAGTCAAATTTGGTTTTTTGAACTTAATTGGTTTCAAAAAGTTGTTTGAAAACTGATTTGTTCTCAAACCAAAACAAATTTTTCCATAAGAAACAACATAAAGTAGATTAATCTGTTCCCAAAACAAAGCCTTTTTTACTTTTTTAGCTGTATTTAATGTATAAAAATGCATATATAAAAAGTAAAATGTTCCATCACTGCCAAAGGAAACTATCAATTTACAGAAAAGCATGGTAAATAGAGACTTGACTGTCTGGATGAAATATAACCAAATCAATCAAGACAGACAAGCTCTATATCCGCACTTTCCGAAATATGTTTCAAATGATTTGATTTTAATTAATTAATTTTGATAATTAATATATAAACACTAAAATAGTGTGGTTGAGATTATGGGATGATCTCGAGATTTCCCCAAAAAGTTGGTTTGGATAGCAATCAATCCAAAAAGAAGAGCTCAAGTATAGGTAACAACACCTCCTTTCTGCCTAAACAAAGTGTAGCTTATATAAAGGAGTGTATTAAGAAGAGGTGATCCCATTTCTCAGATGGTCTATCTATCTTCTGGCCAAACCTCCCAACTGTGCGTTACGCAGCAGACACAGCTTCTGCGATAGAAGAATATGGAAATGATAGCTGAAAATGAAAATGTCATTTTCAGCTATCATTTCCATATTCTTCTATCAGCACATCATACAGCACATCAAGTCCACACTTTTCTAATTTAATTCCGAGGACTTTCGAACTTGATCACCAACGTCAAGAGTAAAATGAGATAAGCCTGCAGAACCGATTCCATAATTCTGAGACTGAAGAAATTAATCTCGAGATAGTACTAACATACAAGCTCGGGGATTAAATCCGCATGGATCGAAAAACTCTAGGAATTTTTTAGGGGTGGTCCCTCACTACCCGGCCGCCCCATTGTGGAACTGGCCGAACCCATAATGGGCTTCTTAGTACCCAAAAGTTTTTTTTTTTTAATTAAATTTAGAATAATCGAGTTAAATTATTCTCCGATATAAGTCAAATTTCTGTTATTTTTTCGGTTTTTTTTATAATTTTGAATTTAATATGTTCTTTCGAAACACCGAATTCGAAGCTGTAAAAGATTCGAATTAAGTCTACTTATCCATAAAATGTGTGTATATCTATTTATATTTTCTTTATCGTCTTATATTTTCCAAAATACAGCCGATATTATTATTGACTCGAGTAACTATAATATAAAAAATGTAAATACTGTTCGATATATGTTATCAGATGGAGGAATGCAACTATCAGTTCAAGATAATCTGTACAACTTTACACTAGAAGAAGAAAACTCCATATTTCTTGCGACGGTTAAAATCTTTATTCACAAAGAAAGGGGAATACGGAGATTAACTCTTTCTAACATACCGGGATCATCTTTGTATAAGGGATTCTTAATTAACCGTAAAGAAACATCGACGCTTCTGGGTTATTTCTACGATGGAATGTTTATAGGGACATTCACGTATGGATCTCAAAGATACTATGTGGAACCAACGAATGAATATTTTAATAATAAGGTTGATAAAACAGGAATTTTTTACAACATGAGAGATGTGGATTTCAAACCAAAATATCCAGACGGAAAATTAATTTGCGAAGCAACGAATACAGAAAAGTACCGAAAACTGAAATCATACGAAAGACATTACTTCGATTTTAAATTGAAGAATTTTACTATTTTAGTTAAAAATTTATTAATGAGGTATGTAGATCGTTAAATCGTTAAAATAGAATTTACTTTACTCTATATTAAGCTCTACATTATAAATTTTATTATAATTTAAATAAAAGTATACGATGCATTCGATTTTGATAATTCTGTAGGAATGTTAAGTTTAATACGTTTCTTTTTTGTTCGGTGTTGTAAAATTATATATTTAACTTAATAAAAACTTTGTTTATACTGCAAGAATTTGTAAGGTGAAAGAACTAAGGTGAAAACTAACTGCTCTTTTACCTTAGTTTTTTTGGCCTTTCTACTTACTTTGGGTAATCAGTTCCGCCAGTCTAGTCTGCTATACAAAAACAGAAATGGTTTGGCACGAATCGGTTGATTTTGGGGAGGAGAAACACAAATACGAGTAACGCGGCTTTGTTCTTTATCCTGCGGAGAATATAGACTTTTACTAATCCGACTTCCTTGTACAGAGGAAAGCCAAATTAAAGGGTTCTGGATCACTGAGAATGCGTAGGATTAAACGCAACGAATGACGTAAGCTGTCGCTTGGGTACTGATTCTTTTTGGAGGAAGGCCGACATAATAAGGCACGCTACACAGAAATGAAACTCGAGCAACAGGAAAACGGGGATGTGCGACATTACGAACATTTTTATGGAAACGAAGTGTATAACCTGTCTGTCACACTGAGGTATACCAGATTATTTCGGGCCAGATTAGCTAGAGTGTACCGTGTAAGAAACCAATGTAAAGAAAATAATTTTAAAATTTAATAATAATAATACAGAACGGTAGAAATTTGATCCATTAATCGATAATCGGGTCCGGTAATCTGGCACCGTTTGAAAAGTAACCAATAAACCAGAATTGTACTATTCTTAATAGTCAAGCACTTATCTTCAGACTGATTAAAGAAGGTGCGTAAACAAATCGTAAGCATGTAGCAACATGTGTCGATACAAAATGTACTGCAATGTTCGCAATCTTCAGATCCCATATAAGTTATCGAATTTTGAGAGGAAAAAAAAAAGATTCAGCAATTTCTATAATCCGGCACAATGGATTTGTGGATGCCAGATTAACGAAATTCTACCGTAATTGAAAACTTTGAAAATAAAAGTATTTTTAAGATTTTAATTAAAGAAATGTGATTACATTGAATCACAAATGTTTGAGTTTTATATTGAGAAATACAACATTTAAAACCGATAGAAAAACTATTACCGCTATTACTTTCATTATATAATCGCATATAATTTAGAATGAAAACAAATATTTATTATTTTTAAATAGAATTATATTTTATAATGCGAATAATTAGAATATAATACAGTATTTCCCATCATAAGAATAGAACCGATACGTGTATCACTCCGCTGCCGTAGTTAATAAGCAACGAATAAAAATTTCGAAAATTCAAAGATCGCGTCATAAGGCGCCACGTGACTTCTATTTATGGTTTCTTTCAAAAGTTTCAAATAGATTGTAATAATTTAAACACATCTTGAACTTTTCTAACGTATGTCCTTTATATAAAGCGCCGTAAACTTCGTAGCAAACGTGGAATTATCTTTTTTCTTTTGTATCTACACTAACATCGTGTCCACTCTTATTATGGGAAAGACTAGAGAAAATGTATTTCACTCAACAACGTATTTTTTGAAAATATTTTCTAGAAAAACAAGAATATGTTCGTTAGAACTTTTAGCAGATCATACATATGCCGAATACATGCAGTTGAATCGTGGCAAAATCGTCGCAGAAATGCTTTTACACGTCAAGATGGCCGATAACATATTTCGAAATACCGATTTTGATGGAGATGACCGAGGCGACGACATCGCTTTCTCCGTCGAGAAAATTACAATATACGAAACAAAAGACGAACCGGGTTATCCTTTGTCAACGGAAACCAATGATTATAAAATATTTCTAAAACATCTAACTCGATATAAACATCCGTATTGTATGCTGATCTGCTTCTGCCACAGAGATTTTCGGACTAATACGCAATGTGCGGTTTCCAAGGTAACTAAGATTGGAGGCATCTGTCCGGAATCAAAGAAGCTGATGCCAAATAAGAATGTCGCTTTTATAAGCAGTTTAGAAAATAATTATAACATACTGAGATCTCGAATAGCGCTGAATTTAGTCCATCAACTGGGGCACGCATTTGGATGTCACCACGATCCCGAAAGTAATCGATTTTGTAGTCCAGGAGACACGGCTCGGACTGAAGGAAATTACATCATGCATCCACGTTTACCTTACGGAACTTTTAAAAATAACTGGAAATTTTCTTTCTGTTGTACTAACACCATTAAGAACTTTTTCAAGATTTCGAGTAAATTTTTTTCAATATTTTATAATTTTAAGAGTAATTAACTTTTCGCTGCCATCATCAATCCGGAATCTGGCAAATGAAAACATCTTTTTTATAATTGAATAATTGATCACATATTCAGTAAGCTATGACTCGCGCACCTTATATCTCCGAGAACCAATAATTATTGTTTTACAAACGTTTTCAACCCGATCGTCGGGTACTTTGAATTCTGTGGAACGTTTTTTGTATTGTTTGCAGGTTCGAACGATTATGTGAAAAAATTCAATTTTTTTATAACTGTTTCGAACATCTCGTTGAAATATCAAATATATCAGAAATAGTATAAATATGTTAAATTGAACTAACTAAAATACATGGAATAAAATCAAATCAAATAAAATATACCAACACAATATATGGACAGTGATGATATTTTATTGCGTTATTTTTTATCATATATTTCCATGCCGATGGTAATTCTGTGGCATCTTTGTGATTTAAACATTTGCTAATAAGGCCGGATGGATCTATATACAGTATTTCAAACTTTTCTACAGTCGTTGTTAAAGACGGTGAGAGCGCCGGTCTAACAATCCTAGCTTCATTCCATTCAACAACCGAACCCTCTGCGCTACTCTGGATAGTGCCGTAGTACAGTGCCCTTTGTTTACATAGTATATATGCTCTTTATGCCTTTTGCTGAAATTCCTGGTGGTAACACCTATATATTCTTTGTTCGGGCCTAATTGATCGTTTTTATATGGTATCTTGTATTTCCCAGATTTTTCTTCCTTTTTGATCGTATCTTTGTCATTTCTACGCAGTAAAATATAATACCTAACGCGCACTCTGTCCGTACAATTATGTATATTGTGTTGGTGTATTTGTATTTTATTTTATTTTATCCTATGTATTTTAATTAGTTCAATTTAACATATTTATGCTATTTCTTACATTTTTGATATATTTCATATTTCAACGAGATGTTCGAAACAGATATATTGAAAAAAATATTCAGTTACCGTTGAATGTATGAATGGTTTATTAAGTTATGGCAACGCAACACTTGGGCGACTGTCTAGGGGATGCTTTCCGGGGTCTTTTTAGGGGTAACTGACCCTTATTCGTGCGTTACAGACGTGGAGAAGACCCGGAAAGCTCCACGTGGAAAATGCCGTCCTGTCGAGTCGCTAACCCACGACCGCACTCCTAGTGTTCGGAGAACGAAACCTCGTGGACCTATATGAATGGATTGCGACTATTGCACTATTTTAGCATAGTGGCCAAAATTTAACTTTTTTCTCCTCGAGGGCACTAAGAGGATCTTCTTCCATATCTATCAGGGATTCGACTCGATCCATAATGAGTCAGTTGGGTGTTAAGATGGGATCCGACTTATCCGAGACAAACTGTTGTGGAAAATTTCCTTGGATTGCTTGCCTGGATTCGATCACGGGTTTCCAGAGTGATAGGCTGGCGTACAGCCGGATGCCATTTTTTTTATTACATTAAAATTGCTGTAAACTGAACAGTTTTAGCGTATATTCTATAATCAATGTTTGAAACAAACTGAACAACAATAAATACTTTAAATTACAAATAAATTATTAATTTGGTAAAACGATAACCAATATTAATTCAATCTTTGATAAGACTAGACACATACTTTCTCGAATAAGACATTCAAAAAATAACAACTACGAGCCGTTTTTTCGATTGACGTATTTCGTTTGTATACGGCAACACGACACATGGTCGGTCGATCTGCCGAAGGGATGCCTATCGGGAGGATTGTCTACGGGAAACTGACTCCTATTTAGGTGTTACAAATGCGAAGGAAACCCCGAAACCAGCCCGTTGGCGAGACGTGACCAATTTCAGTGTTTGGCGGTTTTATCCACTCGGTCACTGGGCGATTGACATATTTTCCGATGGCAGTAAAAAGTTAAACTATACACTTCTATTTTTCTAATTAAATAATAAATACTATAATTGTTAAGACGAAAACTTTTTAAACATTTTAATTAGGAATAGAGAAGTGTTTAAAGAAGAGAGGAGAATCGATTTGCGGAAATGGAATCGTAGAAGAAGGAGAGACTTGCGATTGCGATTCCTCCAAAGAAATTTGTACAGACGTTGAAAGGTGTTGTTCACTTAACGAATATTCGTCGAAATGCACGGTGAGAAAGGAAAAGACTTGTTCGCCGATTAAAGGACAATGCTGTGACGAAAATTGCGACATTGTAAAATCTGATAAAAAACAAACGTGTTTCAGCAATATAGAATGCTTTAACACAACATCACTTTGCAACGGAAGTTCTCCATTTTGTTACGCAGTAATACAGTCGGACGTACACCTTGCAGATATAACTCTCAAACGTGTCAAAAAGGGCAACGCTAGAGCAACGTCTGTGCCGATGACAATACTAAACTTTGTCGAAGGGTCGTCGTTCCGAATGTCGTATATAAATAATTTGAATAACATCAATTATACCAGAGAAAATTATAGATCTATGCTTAATCTAAAGAGTATAAACCGAATCTCTTTTAAGACTTAGAAAATTAAAAAGAAAGAAAATCTTATTTTAAGTTTTTAAAATAAATTCTAACTGTAGCTTCCGAAAATGTATAAAGTGGCAAATGTTCCCATACAGTTATCAGATGAGAACAAAGTCTGGCGTCTATATCAAGACCGTTGGTTTCTGCGTGACTTACGCACGGTTATCATCGGAATAAATCAATCCTTTGATGGAAACTATAAACTATTAATGTAAAAATTTAAATAATCTTAAAGATATATTAACGTAGTTGGAGAATTTTTATAATACAGTCTTGTTTACGAAAATCCGTCTTATTGCCTTCAGTAGATTTTTGTGTTTACAAATTTTTATATATTTTTTCAAAAATTACTAACGCAAACGAGCGGTATTTGTTTATTTCCTGCTTACGGAACTTTTAAAAATAACTGGAAATTTTCTTTCTGTTGTACTAACACCATTAAGAACTTTTTCAAGATTTCGAGTAAATTTTTTTCAATATTTTATAATTTTAAGAGTAATTAACTTTTCGCTGCCATCATCAATCCGGAATCTGGCAAATGAAAACATCTTTTTTATAATTGAATAATTGATCACATATTCAGTAAGCTATGACTCGCGCACCTTATATCTCCGAGAACCAATAATTATTGTTTTACAAACGTTTTCAACCCGATCGTCGGGTACTTTGAATTCTGTGGAACGTTTTTTGTATTGTTTGCAGGTTCGAACGATTATGTGAAAAAATTCAATTTTTTTATAACTGTTTCGAACATCTCGTTGAAATATCAAATATATCAGAAATAGTATAAATATGTTAAATTGAACTAACTAAAATACATGGAATAAAATCAAATCAAATAAAATATACCAACACAATATATGGACAGTGATGATATTTTATTGCGTTATTTTTTATCATATATTTCCATGCCGATGGTAATTCTGTGGCATCTTTGTGATTTAAACATTTGCTAATAAGGCCGGATGGATCTATATACAGTATTTCAAACTTTTCTACAGTCGTTGTTAAAGACGGTGAGAGCGCCGGTCTAACAATCCTAGCTTCATTCCATTCAACAACCGAACCCTCTGCGCTACTCTGGATAGTGCCGTAGTACAGTGCCCTTTGTTTACATAGTATATATGCTCTTTATGCCTTTTGCTGAAATTCCTGGTGGTAACACCTATATATTCTTTGTTCGGGCCTAATTGATCGTTTTTATATGGTATCTTGTATTTCCCAGATTTTTCTTCCTTTTTGATCGTATCTTTGTCATTTCTACGCAGTAAAATATAATACCTAACGCGCACNCCATTAACTATATATATATATATATTTAAAGTTTCAATATTGCATTATTTTAAATTCGTTAATTAATTTATAACTCACAGAATTTTAAGAGGGAAAAAGTATATACTGTAATTATTATTTTATTTTATTTTATGAAAATAAATTTGGGTCACTGGCGTAGAGAAAATACTAACGCTTCCCGAATAAAAAATTTAATTTTTTAAATTTTTTTACATTAAAAAAAAATAGCAAGAATAGTTGAGTTCACGTCGTTCCGCTCGATATTCTATCGAACACGTAGTTATAATTTTGTAGCCAACCATAACACAAGTATGTTGCCACAAAGTTAAACAGAGTAAATTGAAATTCACTTACACGATTAAAATAAAGGAACTATCACTTACGAGTTAAACAAAATTTAAAGCTATTTATATCAGAGTTACATACTTAATTCTCCTAACTTTAATTACTTTTGTAATTTCTACTTTTCTCGGCACGTTTTCATTGCTTATTATTCAATTCAAAGGAATAAGTAGCTCTTCGCTCGCCCTTCGTCGTTTCCAGACGAACGACAACCCAGAACTTACCACGTGGAGATGGCAGCTTCAGAGTTCCACGAATTGTTAGAAAGAATGAAATTCTACGAGTGACTTTTTTCGGGAAATCTCAAAGAAATGAAAAAAAGAAAACGTGCAACTTTCGAACAAATTTACGTTTGACAATGGCCACCTACAATACAACACATTCTAACAATTCCTCACGTATTGTTAGAATACATTTCTAACAACGTGGCATGAAATATTTCAGAAAGGATTATTTTATTTAAATGATATTTATTAGAAACGGGATTATTTTAACGTTTTAAAGTCAAAATAATGCTTTTTTTTTCAATAAATAAAATCATAAAAATGAAATTGACAGATGTCGAATTATTCATTTATTCTAAAGTAATGTCATCTGTATTTTTGAAAATTCAAAGAAGAATTTGTAATAATTGTGGCTCTTTGCACGCCAGGCAATGCTACCAGAATATCATAACCAGTGCCGGCCCGAGGTAAGTTTTAGGATGGAGCGAGATCCTATTATGGCGCCCCCCTTGTTGCCCCTAATTTATACCAGTGATGCATGCAAGTTCCCTATTGTCGGGATGGTCTAAGGTCTACGCGTATGTGGGTGGTGGTTTTTAAAGGTAGCAACGACAAGTGTTTTACAGAGGTAAACCATTTATTCCGGACGATAATGCTTACATAAAGTCTCTTGTTGGCAAGATCCTGTGTTGTTGGAAATTTTCGATGACAGTGCTGGTCTTGCGTCGTTGGGATTTTTGGCGGCGATCTAGTCGTGCGTTGTAGGGATTTTCTGGACAGTGTTGAGAGAAAAAAGTTCAAAGTCTCTAACGTCAGTGCACAAAAGAAGAACAGAGGTACAAAAATAAGCGGAGACGACACGAACACAACAGAAGTCTAGGTGGGAGTCTTGGTGGAAGTCCTGTTGTCCTTGAATTTTGCGTTTTTATAGGGTTTTTGTGATCGGCTTCTTACTAATTGGATAGATCTTACATCACTGTTTTCCAATTGGTCATCCACCTGTCTCCAGGTGTAAATAGAGCTTCGTAAAGCTCGCGAGAAAGGTCGGTTGGAGATGGTTTATCCGACACCATCTTTCTCGACTCTGATCTCATTTAATTATTGACTATGACACCTACTCTTTTTGATATTTTTTTTTCTAGTTTCGTTTTGCTTTCTAAACTACGTCTTAACTTTAATATTTTAAATTTTCTTCTTTTATATCTAAAAGTTTGTTTTTCCCGTTATTCTTTATGAGCGCTGATGTCAAAGTCGGGTATCGCCGATTCGATACTTATATAATTTGCTTTCTTGACGATTTAACTTAACAAACTGTTTTTTTTCTTATATCTTTCCCTTTTGCGGGGGCTATTTCCGGGGCCTCACAGATCGTGCCGGCGCTTCGAAGTGGACTCGCCAACTAAAACAACGGTGCCTGCGGTGACAACTCTGTTGTCACCGCAGGTGGCACCCCTGCTTGCGGTAGACAGGGTTGGAACCCCGCCCACGCGCGTCTCAACAGATAAGGCCATTCATATACTGGCCACACGCTTGCAATTAAAATATCGAAAAGTGAAAAAAATATTTTTTTCTTTAATTTTCTTTATCACTGAGGCGCCCCCTAGGACTTAGCGCCTGGAGCGGCTGCTCAGTTCGCCCTATGGTAGGCCGGCTCTGGCTTAATGTTACACTTGTTTGGGTAGCTATACTTTGACTTTAATCCAGCATAGCCTTTTGAACCAGTATCAGCTGAGCATGACATTTGCAACATAATAATGCTTTAGTTACAAAAATACAATTATCACTTATAAATCTGTTACATATGTCATACAATTCCAGTTTATGAAGATTTTACTACATATACAGTATATATTTTTTAACATATGTGCTTTATATTCAGAAAATATTCAATGAAATAAAAAGATTTTAACATACAAAATGATAGTAATTAAAGTTTCAACCTTACAACCAACATCTTTCTACAGGGGTATCCAACACTTATAGAAAAACATCTGTTAGCCCAACAATTGCAAAACTTGGTAGGTATTAATATGATGATGTAGATCAGTGGTTCCCAAAGTGGGTGCTAACAACCTCTGTAGGAAGGTGAATAAACATAGTGGGGTGAAAAAAAGCAAGGGGGCAGCAGGAGGTGCTAGAGTCATGGTCCTGACCAAACAATGACCATAGGTGAGGGTTGGGGTCACTGACAACCTTTCCCTTTCTCCCATTAAAATGGGTAAGAAGAAACATTACATTTAATGGTTTCCAATATGGAAAACAATGTACTGCAAGAACACAAAGCATGAGGTTCATAGAAAAATTTTTCTAACAATTTTTTCAAGCTGTTCTTACTCAAAGGAAGATGGGTTAAGTAGCATTGGAAGAATGATTGGATATAAGTTTACTGAAGTAAGGGCAGTGACTCAAAAAAGTTTGGAAATTACTGATGTAGATGATGATGTAAAAAAAATATTTTTAACACATGCTGATAAGGGTGTTGGTAGTTATAAAAGTCTATTATTTTATATGCATTAACAAAAGTATTAATTAATGTGCATTAGATGAAAAAACAAAACTTTATTTTAAATTGTCCCATCTAAATTGGAACATATAGCCATTTAATCAAGATATAAATTTCAAATATTTATTAAAACTTGCATATAGAATATAAAAATATCCAATAATGTCAAAGGAAATCTGAAAATGTATCATAATTAAGTGTTTGCCATATAAAAAAAAAAATAGAAAAAGTAAACAAAACCCTTTGTACAGTAAGAACCCCCATACAGACTTGCCTCATGTGCTTTCAGGTTTACATTATTGACAGTTAAAAAAAAAAAGGAAAATACATAAAATAAAAATTCTAATTGCAGGTCATTTTTTAGTGTGTGTGAAATCTCACAAAGTACACTTGTTCTCATCGGGGAAGCATTAATTAAGTCACTCATTTCTTTGTTTTGCACAAAACACTGGGATCTGTCTGCATCAGTCTTTATCTGATATGCTGCTACATGGAAGGAAATTTGCCAATTGCATATAATTTAAATCCTGTGTGAAAAAGTGCAGATATTGAGGAATTGGCAGGTATTTGCAGGCATCAAAGTTACATTTCACCAGAAGTTTTGCCTTCATAATTTAACAAATTAAATTTTCTTGCTTGTCCATATAGATGCTTTCAATGAGTGTTTTAGTTCCAGGGAGCCAGAAAAAACTTCACAGATATCATTCAAGCTATATTGGGGTGTTGTATTGGACTACTGGTTGACTTATAATACTGTATGTATGTGCAAGAACATTTCCATCTTGTGACAGACTGTTCAATAAGCTGTCAATGCACCCTGTACTGTACCTTGTAAATTTATTAAACTTGAGCCAATTCTGATTTTTTTATAACCATTTTTGAATTCATCAAGTCGAAATCATTAAGAAATCATCAGGGATGTTTTTAGAGCATCCCTGAGAATATATAATTAACAAACTTTGACTATTTTATCTATGGTTTTATTTTATTGACCTTTTTGAAATTTAATTAATATATTTTTCAAAATTTAAATAAATATAACTATTAATAGTATGTAATTTATGTAGCTAAAACTTATTAAATTTAAACTTTTTTGTTTTCATTCTATTATTATAGAATGTAAAACAATTATTTTAAAAATTTTTATTTGAAACAATCATTTTTTTATAGTAAAATAAACATGAGAAACACTAGCTAATTTATAATTTATATTTAAAACATTTATTATTCACTATATATAAATTGGTTAAGACTATTGAGAAAATTAAATAAATTTATTTTTAAAAATAGAATTAAAACTCACCTTACTAAATAACTTTTTTTTGTAAATTGTATAAAGAAATAAATTATTTGACACATTTTTATAGTTTTAAAGAATGAGGTTAAAGCTGTTCCAGTTGCTCAAGCAGAAAAATAGCTCTTTTTTATAATAGAAAATTCAATTTTACAAATTATGTAATTTTATTTAACAATATAATTAAAAATCATTCTTTTGTATAATTACACTTCTCTACAAAATTTAAAAAAAAACTATTCATTCATAAAATGAATACCATTCAAATTAGCACATTTATAGGAGATATATTTGAAATTAATCAAGATCCGCGTACAAAAAGATTAATTAATACGAATAACAACTCGATCTAATTAAGGAAAAAATAATTTTACGGCATTCTCTATTGGCTGTTGGACATCAGCTACTGAGTGTATATAAAAATAGTTCTATCGAATGTAAACACAGCGTGAAAGAAGTTTCAGATGAACCAGTCAAATGATTGATAAGGAAACTCAAAGTTTGCTCATTAATTATTTTATTTTAATTGTTCTTCTTTTAATTCTTTGGATACTTTATACAGAGGTAAACTCTTTCCCTATATTAAATACTGTATATACACGTGTAGAATGAAATTATGTAATTGTATTGTTTAATAGTATTATTTATTGATGTAAACAAAATTTTCTATTATTTAAAAACAATTCAAGATGTAGTAAAGAAATGAGAATTAACATATATATATAGGAAATTTAAAAAGTAAATACAATATGAAAGAAGATGAACAAACCATTTTTATGAAAGGGAGGAAGGAGTAAGAAGCGTCAGAAACGTAAATAGATTTGGATATGAGCTTTAGTTTCAGTCGAAACGTAAAATGGATGCAGACAAGGAAGCGAAAAGTTTAATTGTCAATTATGTGGTATTGATTGTATTACTATTGGTACTATGGGTTCTTTATATGGGAGTGAGTATACTACCTTTCATTTCTACAGTCGGTTTTTTTTTTAAATATTAATATACCTAATATTGAGTTACAAATAAGATTGAGTTATTAATATTTAAGCTATAAATAAATTGAATAGCTTATTATCTTTTACACTGAATCCATTATTGTAATTTTAAGTAATAAAATCTCTACTGAAAAGTCTGGTGAGAAGGAAAAGAACGGTGTCAATGTTCTATTACGTTTCTAATATAGAAACTTGTAGGATTTTGTTGTAATATTTTAAACGTTCCGTGTCGATATTTAAAAACATTTAACAATTTAAATTAATCTTATGTTTAGTAAGATTATTTTATTTGTTTTATAATAATTTCTTAGAATAATTTACACACAGAACGGATGTTTCTCCTAAGTAATACACAGGAAGTCTATCTGGTTTCATTGGATTTAGGTAATTTAATACGTTAGATTAGTATAAAAGAGCATTTTACATAAAAGCACTTAAGTATGACCATGAAAGCTGTGTAATTTTTACGTTTTTTTTATTACTAAAACGATATTCAACCGAAATAATAATTTACAATTACAAAAAGAGATAATAATTTATCCTAAACGGTAGAAAGAACACATCATACAGAACTGGATACTGTTTGAAATGGTTCCAAAACTGATTTCGAACATTCTGTAAATATTTTGGCATTTTTTAATATAACTTAATACAAAAAAATTAACTTTAATGGTTAATTTGGCAGAGAAAGAGATTGATGTTCACACCCTTTTGATTAATCAAATTAAATAAGATTATGGGTCATAAAATGGTGTAAGATGTTACACGTTCTTTTATAAGTTATATAATGTTACGTTGGGGTCAAAATCAGTTGTAAAGTTATATAAATTCCTAAAATATAATCGATTTAGAAGAAAAAGAGAGAGAAAAAACTAAATTTAGAATTAGGCATTCCTATATAAATAAAGCGAGGGTGTATGGTGCCGTTTCAAAAAATATTAACTAACCTCATTTCTGCCAGTGCTAAATTTAGATTCTATATAAATCAATATTACTGTATTTCAAGTAATACTTTTATCGCGTTAAACAAACTCTTTCATTCGTAAAATGAAGTGTTAGATGCTTGAAATAATAATAATTATATTCATTCATTCATTCATCCTACTGATTTTTATTACTTTTATGTCGCTTTTCTGTGTCAAATAATGGATGTTATTTTTTTTTTTTTTTNGATGTTATAATCTTGATTAAATTTACTACAAATCCGCGGATATGAATACATAATATTAATAAGAATATCAGATAAATAATCAGTACGTATTACAATATTTTCAGAATGAAGTTTTATATCTTCTATATCGTCAATGGCGCTACGCCACTGCATTACAGTATATATGTGAAAATACTACTGTATTGTATTATATTATAATTTCTAAACAATAATATATTTTTTAATATTAAATGCTTGAATTCCTAATACAGTCAACCGCCCCTATAACACTGTTGATAATTCCGTTTTATATGAATTCCATGTTGTAAGAGTCATTTAGATTTTACAGATACGCGAGCCGTTTACAGCCCGGCATACGTATTTGTAAAATCTAAGTGACTCGTACAATATGCAATTCATATAAAACGGAATAATCAACAGTGTTATAGGGGGTCGACTGTATGTAGCAAATTTTTCTTATTATTATATATATACGTATAAATGAAAATTATCAATATAGGACAATTCGAGTAAATTGTCAATGGTATTTTAATTGTATTTTCCTCTTTTTTCCATTGTTAGATCCTTTTTCAGTTGAGATTTGTTTTAAAAATGAATCCATTGAAAGAAATCTGAAGTACTTCACTATTCAATAAAGAATTTTATTGAAAAATTAGAGAAATTGAATTTTAAAACAATCGTAAAAAGCAGCAGAATTCGTTACAGAATAATATTTTTAAAAAACACAGATTATACAATATATTATTAATTTGTAAGACAGGAAATTTTATCGGAAATTTAAGATATAGAAATATGTCGTTAACTGACGGGTGGATGACATTTCGCCAGCTGCATATGACATGACAAAATAGAGAAAAACAACTCATTTGACGAATGATGGTTCTATTTTAAAATTGCAAGGACTGTGATTATACATTGCCAAGATGTATTAAGTTTGGAAAGATGAAATGCCTCTGTTTTTAGATGACACACTTTCCGTTATTCTTAATTATGAATTTTTATAATAAAAGATAATTTAAACGAAGAGATATAAAGATCTTTAATTAAATAAATCTGTTTAACATGCCTAATAAAAACACAACAGTCAGAACAAGAGAACATTGCAAACACACACACTCTTGGCGAGGAAAAAAATACAGCTCAGAATTTTGAGGATAGCCCGGCTCTCAGCTGGAGTCTAGCAGCGCATATTTGTTCCAGTCCATATACCGAACTTTTTGTAATTGGAGGTTTGTTTGTTTGTTTGTTTTGTTAAGCTACGGCAACGCAACACTTGCGCGATCTACCTAGGAGAGATACCTTCCGAGAGGTCTTTTAAAGGGTAACTGGCTCCTATTCAGACGTTACAGACGTGGAGAAAACCCGGAAAACACCACGCTCCACTTCAAAACGAATCTTGTATTGTGTATCTGTTATTATTACAGATGCAATTTAATTTCAAAAATGAGCTTTGCTGCAACATATCCAGCTCAGCTCTCAACTCCATCTGAATTCACAGTTTAGCTCGCAGCTCTAAGACCTCCGCTCAGCTTGGTATTTCCGAATAACTAAACTGAGCTTTGCAACTCTACACGCGATTAAGGAATTATATCTAATTTAAAAGCATACTACAAGTGGCCATTCTACATTTTTTTTTAAAATCCTGAAGCTTAAATTGTTACATTCGCAACCAGCAACAATAGGGCTATATCCACAAGATACAAAAGGCCTTGCTATTCTTGCAAAAACTTCGAGGCCCAAATGGCGGAGAACAGAATGGTATGGTGAAGTCCTTGAAAATGAACCATACAGTGAGCCCCTTTCCATCAGCAACGAAATCTGGGTAATCTCTGTTATCTTCTTCTATGGGGATTTTTAATAATTGATCTTATTTTAATAACAAACACTTAAAAAACCTACTGATTTTGTTGAAAAATTCACTCATTAAAAAGAGTGGCCTCAGGATCTTCCGGGATTAAGGAACCCTGAAGTTTAAGCTTCATTAGTTTCATAATAGATCAATCCACCATTGCATACAACAGCAGTGAAATGTATGCAAGAATTTTAGAACTAAATAATAGTCAAAGAGAAACTGATATGACTTCTATTGCTAAAAGGAATTTCCCTCCTTGACTGCATTTTTTGGCAATGTTGTAGGATCAAGTGTCTGAGAAAACCATTGGGAATTGTTTTTAAAAGGATGATGTTTTAAAAATAGGCACCGAGACATCTGAAAATAAAGTTGTGTCGAAAAGGAAATCATAAATAACACTCCAGAATATAGATACATCAAAAGAAAACTTTAAAACTAGTTCAATTTTATCAATTCTCCGGGCTTTCTTTCTGATAATGTCATCAGAAATATGCCAAATTATCAGTGAAAAAAGCCAAGGAATTACCTTTCGCTGTCGGTTATTGTTATTAGTACAAGCTAGTCCCGAAATGATTACAATAAGCAGCATCTACTGCAGCCACATACAGATTTGTGGTGTATAACAAAAAATTTAATTATTTTTAATAATATTCAGTCTTGCTGTTGTAAATACGAAACTTAGGATGTTGCTATTAGCAGCTCTTATATTAATAAATGTTACTTAAGACAGATTGGAGATAAACCAACTCAAAGCTAATGAGAGCTTGAAAAACATGAAAAAATCCAGATATGGCAGTTGTGATGAAAATGTAGCTTTTATTATCCTTAATGTATTTTCTTAGATATTTTGGTTTATATTTCAAGGCTATTTCATTCTGATGAAATAACTTAGAAAAGTATATTTAAACAGTGTAGTATGGATTATATCAAGTACATCGTTATTGTTACATCATTTAACACTTTTAGTAATTTATTATATTGATGCTAATGCTTAAAAAATATACTATTTTATAAAGAATTACACGGACTTGTTGATATAACATTGATAAATATAAAAAGTCATGCCTTATTATAGTAAAATAAACAGATTATTTATACGAGTTTATTAAATTAATGAGATTTTTTAGTGAGGGAAAGAATCCTGGTTTTATAATTTAGATTCAGATGCTAATCTTCACAGTTTACAGAAATAAAATTCGCTTTTAATTAGAAGATATGTCTGCTATTGTTATGTATATGTATACTTTTATACTAGTCCTATTACTAAAATATAATATTAAATACTATAAACTGTATCTGAGTTGTATTTATACTATGCAGACCATCTTCGAATGTTGTGTAATTCAGTTAAATGTTTTTACAATAATTTCTATTGTTTATAGAATATTTTTGTATTCTCTAAATGATATACTTTCTTTTACAGAAAAAAACATATCAAGTTCATTTGAAGTCAGATGAAAATATGGAACAATTTACACCCAGCGCTTTATTCATCAATAATTTAAGAGTTTCATACGTTCGTTAATGAAATATTTATATATATCTATCATGACACATTATTTAAAATTTGAATCTGGATAACATTGTAGTAATTTCTCTAATTTTAAATGTCAAAATAGCTTCTTTCAGAAAAAACATTTATAAATTTTTTATGTTTAAAACTCTTTTGTATTAAATAAATTCTAATAAGAATGATCAAATAAATAATAAAAATTACAATTTTTGTATTTATGAAATGATTATGAAGGATTTCTTAAATGCGATCATAAGTATAATGTTAACTGATCATATACCTATTAAATAAAACATGTGGCTGTACATTAATTAAAAGGTACAGTTGTAAAAAATGGTTAGTGCCATTTCCATTAGTACGTTAAAATGCATGCTAACAGCTAAGCAGCGGTGTGTGTATTTAAATTTAAAATGTACTTTTTAACTATAACGTAATTATATTCTGATTAAAGTAAAAACAAAAAACTTTGTAAGACGTCTAATTTTTTCCATTTTCTCTATACTTTCAATATGGCGCTTACCATCTATTACCTCAAAACCTTTCAATTACATGTGAAATTTAAGGAAGGAATTGCAAAAAGTATAACATTGTACATGATGGAAAGGAGGTTGATACATTGTCTACGTTGGCATTTTTTAGTAGTATTAGTAGCATATGAACTTCTTATAAAGCCTACTTGTTTACTGATGTAAAGAATGTTGCTCAATGTGTACCCCATTGTTTAGGTGTAAAATCTGAAGCTGCGGTCTGCTGTTCGGGCAATGAACAGTGTGTTCATTGCCCGAACAGCTGACCGCAGCTGCTCTCCACGATGCTTCGCCACGTGCAGTGTAATATGATTTGTTGAGTCTGCCAAAGTTACAACATTTCCATTATAAACCATAATCTTTAAATAGTCCCAAAACCAGAAATCGCACGGATTAAGATAGTCATTGTTTTCACTGGCTGTTTAAAATAACAGATTAAAATATCACTAAGGTTAGTCTTCATTACTTACTATGTTTTGTTTTGTGTATTTCCCTGCAAAGCGTTTCCTAATAATGGAAGTCTTTGAACTAAATATTTTGCAAAATCTTTTTCCGTATCCTTTGCATAGTTTGTATACGAATTTTGGTGTCAAATCACGCTTTGGCTAAAGTTACAGAATGTTCTGAACAGGAAACTTCAATTGTAACTTAGCTATCCTGTACATTGTTGTACACAACAAGAGGGAGGAGGGTCAAAAGTGGCTCAAGAACTGTCACTCTGTATACAAAGCATTATTCATCACACACAATAATGAATAATATAATGAATTTGTACAGGGACATACTGGTGTATGATGATATAAGTGTTATACATGGTGTCCTGTCAAGACAGTATAACCTCTACAAAGCAAGAATCCTCGCTCGGAGTATATAAAAAATGACCCAAGAACCATACCTCTACGACCAGTGGCAAGGTGTCAGCTTGCCCAATGGTAAGTGGGCCCCTTAAACATTAAACAATATGTTTAAAAAATAATAATTCCAATATTATTACTGTATGCAACTAAAATTTTCATTGTATTACTATTTTAATAAAATCATTTTTCGAGGATACATTATATTTAAGAATATAATAAATAACTAAAAATATAATTCTGATTCAGGTTATGTTAGATCGATGCATACGTTATATAGGCTCGTATCTTTACTATTGCAACTGCTCAATGAAGATTAATGGAAAATTACAGCCTGGGATGGTGACGTGCAGCCATAGTCAACTTTGTATCGAGCTGTCGCACACATTTCAAAGACAGCAAATATTTTTAATTGAGTCGGGCTCAGTTTGAGTGTGATTCGTCAGCTTTTCACCTCGTACTAGCTGTGATGTGGGAGTGTTTTCATTAATATTTTTATATACTGTGACCCTACCTCCTTTAATTTAAATATAAAAGATTATAATCATCATAAGGACGTTAGGAAAAGAAGCACACTTCCTTTTTGAGGTCACAGAAATGAATCTGCCTACTCTCTGGATAATGAGATTCTGAATCATGGCAATTTTTTAGCTACAGTGTAGTTAATGGCCTAAAATTACCCTATTATGGCAGCTCACATTACTGCAGTACAAAACAAGTTTACACAAAAAATCAAACGATTAGAACAACAAAGAAAGGATGAAAGCAAAGACTGTGGTGGATTTATTACATACCTGACAACTATTAACACGTTAATCCAAATTATGAAAAATATAATACAAGGAAAAAATTTCATGAAGTTTCTTAAGCAAAATATTCAACTTGATTCAAGAAAAGATAATTTAACCATCAATCAGTTTTGCATTATTATATGGTATGTGCTTAAAGTGTTATTTGTAAGTGACTACTTTCAGTTGTGACAAGTAATGTTGGAACAGGACTTTTTGAACTATTGATTGAAACATTACGCAGGGATGGCAAACTTTACAGTCCACATGCCATATTGTAAGCATACTTAACTTTAAAGATGTTTGTGTGCACCAAAGTTTTAGACTTTGAATAATGACGCTTAAAAAAATTAAAGGAATATGCTTTAATTAAATCAATGTAAAAAAGCTGATTGAAAAAAAGGTGATCAGATGATAAACCAAAAAGATAATTGAAAAAGACAGATGATAAATTGAAATCGTGATACGTTATGTGCCAAATGATTTCTCCTTATGTGCCACTTTTGGCACACTACATAGGTTCGCCAGTCCTGCATTACAGCATCTTAAAATTGATCTCAGAAAACATTTATCTGACTGTAGAGATGGAGCTGCAAGATATGATGACCAATATAATTGTTTACAAAATAAAATTATTGATGTGGCTGATCAACATATTCATATATGAACCTGTGTCTTGAATTTGATGATAACTAAAACAACAAAATGTTGTGCGCCTGTAGTTTGTTTTTTCAATTTGCTCCAGAATTTAGCAACTTTTACGAAAACATCATACAAGGAAATGGCTGTGTGGATAGAAGTTGCTGGAAAATATCTAGGACAAGAAAAAAATTAAACAATTAAAGCTAATTGGTGAGACAAGATGGTCTGGGAAATTCAATGCAGCAACAACTATATTTANAAGATTTCACCGGGATGTCCGTGATATCGAGAGACGTTACTGAGGAAAATGGGATGTCAATACGTTAACTGACTACTGTTGGATGCTCAATCGAGAAACCAGAGAAAGAAATTGGAAACAAGTTTGGAAAAGCATCAAAAAGAAGAAAAAAGGTTTCATTAGAAAAAAGAGTAGACCTAAAATTGTGTATAAATATCAGAAACAATTTGTTGATTAGTTGTAAGAAAATATTTATTACAATGAAATAAATATATTATAAGAGTTTTTATCAAAAATTTGTTTTTATTTTGCAAAAAACCTTTACGTGATGGGATGTAACGGAAGTTATTTTTAGAATCTGTGATCTTTAAAACATATAATTCAGCAAAAATATTCCATGCAGCTGGAAAAAAATTTTTTTGCAGACCTGTTATTTTTTTGATTGCTTCATCTCATGCATTTAAATTTTAAATCGACCGATTTTAGATTGCCGCGCGTACCCCCTCACGCAATTTCGCGTACCCCCAGGGGTACGCGTACCACTAATTGGGAACCACTGCTCTAGATAATGAGATTCTGATTCATGGCAATTTTTTAGCTACAGTATAGTTGATGGCCTAATATTACCCTATTATGGCAGCTCACGTTACTGCAGTACAAAACAAGTTTACACAAAGAATCAAACAATTAGAACAACAAAGAAAGGATGAAAGTAAAGGCTGTGGTAGATTTATTACATACCTGGCAACTATTAACACATTAATCCAAATTATGAAGAATATGATACAAGGAAAAAAATTTCATGACGTTTCTTAAGCAAAACATTATTCTATTCAACTTGATTCAAGAAAAGATAATTTAACCATCAGTCAGTTTTGCATTATTATATGGTATGTGCTTAAAAGTGTTATTTGTAAGCGACTACTATCAGTTGTGACAAGTAATGTTGGTATAGGGCTTTTTGATCTATTGGCTGAAACATTACGCAGGGATGGAGAACTTTACAGTTTGCACGCCATATTGTAAGCATACTTAGCTTTAAAGATGTTTGTGTGTGCCAAAGTTTTAGACTTTGAATAATGACACTTAAAAAAAATTAAAGAAATATGCTTTAATTAAATCAATGTAAAAAAGCTGATTGAAAGAAAGATGATCAGATGATAAACCAAAAAGATAATTGAAAAAGATAGATGATAAATTGAAATTGTGATACGTTATGTGCCAGATGATTTCTCCTTATGTGCCATTTTTGGCATGCTACATAGGTTCGCCAGCCCTGCATTACAGCATCTTAAAATTGATCTCAGAAAACATTTATCTGACTGTACAGATGGAGCTGCAAGATATGATGACCAATATAATTGTTTACAAAATAAAATTACTAATGTGGCTGATCAACATATTCATATATGAACCTGTCTTGAATTTGATGATAACTAAAACAACAAAATGTTGTGTGCCCGTAGTTTGTTTTTTTCAATTTTTTCTCCAGAATTTAGCAACTTTTACGAAAACATCATACAAGGAAATGGCTGTGTGGATAGACGTTGCTGGAAAATATCTAGGACAAGAAAAAAATTAAACAATTAAAGCTAATTGGTGAGACAAGATGGTCTGGGAAATTCAATGCAGCAACAACTATATTTAGACATTTTGATGATGACACTGTCAGTACTTGTATATATTTGAAATTACAGCTTATTATCAAGTTATTTACAGAAAAGTTGTTTAGATATGTTTACTGCATAGAATTTAGTAAATTCAACTACAACAAATTTGAAGGAATAGACATGAATATTTGATAATGTTCACAGCAAGGCATTAGAAATTGTAAATAAATTTAATCACAAGATTTTATAGTTGAATATGGATGAAAATCAAACATTGGAAATTGACTCTAGAAATAGTATTGCAGAGGCAAAGGAAGAAGTAATTGCAAATGAATTTATAAATGAAGGAAATTCCTCAGATACTCTAGCTGATTTTTGAGTAAATGTGTTTAACCTAATAATGGATCACATTGTCCAGTCATTAGATTGAAGCTTTATACAACACAAAAAGTTTTATAAAGAATTATTCTGCTTGGACCCAGCAAACTTTAAAACTATTGCAGAGAAGGGTCTTGAAGATGAAGCATTAAAAGGGATCAAATGTTGCTATCCATTGAAAAGGAATTATTAGTTGAATTTGATGAAGAATCACTTATTGATAGATTCATGCAACCATCTAGTGAATTCAAACGATTGCTCTTATTGGTGGATTGAATGAAATATGCTTTTGAACTACTTGCTAACATGTAGAATGTTCAGTACAAGCAAACTATTTA